CGCGGCGCTTTCTCGCTCCGACGCGCTGTCTCCCGTCGCAGACGCCACCGTCGCCGCCTCTCTCGTCGGAGACGGGAGCAAAACACAGAGAATCGGGGTTATGAACGCGGTGGGTAGGTTCGGCTACGCTCAAACCCGGCAGCGCCGCGGTTCAGGCGTCTCCTTTCTTCCCAGCGACTGCACAAAATGGCGGCCGCCCCTGCGGCGCTTTCTCGCTCCGACGCGCTGTCTCCCGTCGCAGACGCCACCGTCGCCGCCTCTCTCGTCGGAGACGGGAGCAAAACACAGAGAATCGGGGTTATGAACGCGGTGGGTAGGTTCGGCTACGCTCAAACCCGGCAGCGCCGCGGTTCAGGCGTCTCCTTTCTTCCCAGCGACTGCACAAAATGGCGGCCGCCCCTGAGACTGCTCCAACTTAACGCTACGTACGGCGGAGACGATACGTAAACAGGGTCTCGGAAACGCCCGAGGGCTCCGCAGGGCGTTACGGATATTCTTGGAAGCGTTTTACGTCAGTTGCGGAGATGGGTGTATTTTGCAGTTCGTATAAGAAAAACAAAATACGGAGCGGGAGTAAAGTTCTCGCGCCGCCTGAACCAGAACGTGGGGTGGGGCGGGGCGGCGGCAGGGGGGGTTGTCTCCGTTGCGACGTAACGCTCTTTGCGTCTTTACCCGGCCTGTTATTGCGGAGATGCGCCGTAAGCGTAGCGCGTTGGGTTTAGAGAATAGGGGGTTTGCCGGATTCCGCTGCGGGACGGAACTTGGGCCTGCGGTTGTGAGTCACTTTGCAGAGACAATAAACGTCCTCCACGCTTTATTTTAAGAGTTTGCAAGGTGCCAGAAGCCAGGAGAGTACTCCTCAGCTGGCCCTTCTAGGTGACCTGGGCGGCCCCGGAGACTGGCCGCGCGCCCGGCGCCATTTCCTGTAGGTTACCTCTAGCTGCGCCGTCGCCGGCAGCCATGATGGGGGCCCTGTGTCCCTTTTGTTTAGCGAGTTGTGCAATGGGCTACGTCGCTGCTGGGCTAAAGGACTCTGCTGCTCGTGGTTCACAATGATGTGCATTTTCGGCTCCTGGTGGGGCACAGTTGAACCAACTCAAAAGCAAAGCTCCCTAGAGCCTTTCTTAGGGCCGGGCCGCAGTCCCTTCCCATTTAGCGGCGCCCCTCCGAATCCGCGCCAGCAGCATTCTCAGCGGCCTCTCCCGACCCCTGGGCCGAGGCTTCAGCGAGTGTTTTTAACCCAGCTGGGCCGCGTCCACCACTCAATTCCCTTTCAGAAAGGCTCCCAGCGCTCCTTGTTCGCCTCTCAAACTACACGAGTGTCCTAAGCATGGCCGATGGCATCACAGGGTGGCGGCGGAGCTGGGGGCCTTCCCCGCTCCTCTCGGGCCTTGGTGCCTGAGTTCACCGAGGAGTTGAAGGGGATGTGACGCCCCTCAGGGTGGCGGCCGATCCGTGTCTCCAACTCTGTCTCTGCCAAGTTATGGGGAAAGTAACCCAAGGAAAAGAGTTTTGTGCTAGGCTAGCACATGTTACCGAAGCAGAAATGGACGTAAACCCACAGATTACGTTTCGCGGGTTCGGTGACACCCGTCACGGAAAAAGTTTTCGAGCATAAAAGAGGCATCAGAGAATTTTTTTAAGGACAAATTGTAACCGTGCACTCAAAGTACAGGCCGTCGAGAAAAGAGAGGTGCATCATTTCCTGGAGCTGGGAACATTTATGCTTCTTTGGATGGGGTGGAAACCCCAGAAATTGGCCCACTCCCCCGGAAGGTCCTGACCCATTTTACAAATATGGACCCAGTTTTTTGTTTTAACATGAATAACTTCAGCCTTCTTTTAACTCCCTCAACCCGTTCCTTTATCCGAGGATCAGGTTCCTGCTCTTTTAGACAATTTATGGGCTTACAATATTCTTCAGGAATTTTAGGTGTGATAGGTCTGGAAGGAAAGGAGCATAAATTAAGGAGGCATATGTGGGTAGCCTGAGGTAACTTTGTCCCATAAGTTAGTCTTTTTTTAAGTACAATTTTTAAGTTATAATTTTCCTTGTCTCCATTTTACTTATCTTTATTTCTTTTATTTCAGTATCACTTGGGCCAGAGACACAGACAGTGATGGATTCATTGAACACATTGGTAAATGACTAGAGGACCAGCACCCTCCTAGGTGCTGGGGCCACATGGTGAGCAATCAAGTTCTGTGCTCACAGCGTTTTTCCTCTAGTTGGGGAGATAGTGCTTTGTTTTTTTGTTTGTTTGTTTTTTTTTTGTTTGTTTTTTTGATGGAGGTGGCACGTTGAGCAGGCTTTTGCTATATAGTTCAGACTGGCCTTGAAATCACTGTCGCCCAGGCTGTCCTTGAATTTGAGACGATCCTTCTGCCTCAGCCTCCTGAGTTCTGGGATTACAGGCTTATGTTACCATAGGTGGCCAGAGCCAGATATTAAATTATTATGTCAAGGGCTGGGGACTTAGCTCAGAGGTACTGCCGTCTGCCTCACAAAAGCAAGGTCCTGAGTTTGATCCTTGATACAAAAAAAAAAAAAAAAAATTATGTCAGGCAATTGCTAACTAAAATTTTTTAAAAATGGAAAAGAGTATACATAGGGTGAAGAAATGGAGTATGTAGTATTGCACTGGATGTTCTGGTAGGATCTCCTAGATCAGATGACATGTGAGCTGAGACCTACACAGAAGGACCGACCTTTGGCTACATAGAAAAAAAAGCAAGTGCAAAGGTCCTTAGAGTGTGACTGCAGTAGACCCAGAGACAGGAGAGGACTGCATTATGAAGGTTTGTATGCCACCATAAATCACTTTTTAAAATTTTTATTTTAGTGGTACAGAGGATTGCTAAATTGCCTAGGCTGAGGGCAAACTTTCAGTCCTCCTGCCTCAGCTTCCCAGATTGCTGGGATCCCGGGCGTACACCAGCATGCCCAGCTGCCAAGTCTCTTATTTGTAACTGCCAAAACTGTTGGTATCACAGAAAATAGCCAGCTGGGTATAGTGGCTCACACCTGTAATTCTAGCCCTAGGGAAGCTGATGCAGGAGGATTGCCTGAAGTTTGAGGCCGCCATGGGCTACATAGTGAGATCCTGTCTCAAAGAAATGAAGAGAAAATATGCTTGATTCAATTTATTTTTTTATTAAAAAAAAGCCTAAGTGACAGTTGAGTGCTTATGCTCACTACGTCCACAGCATATGCTGTTTTCTCTTCATTATTTAGTTCATCTATAAATGAAATAACTGGGCCTCACAGGGATGCTGGAAGGAGGGAATGAAATACCTTGAAGAGCGGTGCCTGGTACTGATGTGCAGCGGTATGAGCAGATGTCATCAACTTGCTAAATAGGTGAGCAAGCTGAGGCTCGCTAAGTGGCTAGGCCAGGGGCACAGTGCACAGAGGGCATAAGAAGGACTCAAATGCAGATGCCCTAGCACTGTTGGGTTTGGGGATGCATAATTTCCCCATCCTGTGCCTTGTAAGGGATTAGCAGCATCCTTGGCCTCTCCCCACTAGATACCACTAGAATCACCCTCTTGTCCAAGTCACAATGGCAAAAATGTCTCCAGACTTTGCCCAGTGTCCCCAATGGGGGGGGTCCCTGAGACCCACTCCACCTGGGGACCACTGTGCTAGCCTCCCTCCCTATGGGAGCTCAGAATTAATGTCATTCTTTCAATTGTCACATTTTTCTGTAGATGTAGTTTGCCATCTGCAAACTACTTGCCAACAATACCATCGCAGTTATTCATCTGAGGTGTGGCTTCTAGCAGTAAAATTTATACTCAAGGCACAACTTTCAACCATGAGAATTACTCCTTTCGTGTCGACTTTAAGGCCATAAGGCTTCGGTTTTAAGCGATTTTTTGCTGTGAACCACCTGAGTTCTGTGTACACATTCTATTTAGTTTTCCCAACTTTGTAGTTGCATAGTCAATAAAGTCACCCATGTGTGAAACACAGTGCCTCTGTTTTCCATCTTACTAGGATCCATGTTGCTTCAAATGTCAATATTCACTACCTCATATATTGTATCCTCATACAATGATGTAAGTTTACAATTAAAAGGTCTAGGCAGAAAGTTAGGCCTAGAGACGATGGTTCTGTTTTTTGTTGTTATTTGGTTTTTTTTGTTTTTTTGAGTCAAGGTCTTATTTGTAGTTCAGGCTGGCCTTGAACTCACTATGTAGTCCAGGCTGGTCTCAAACTTGTGACAATCCTCCTGTGTCAGCCTCCTGAATGCGGGGATTATAGGCGTGGACTACCATGCCTGGCCCTGAGGTGATAATTCTGGACATGAAGCTCAGTGTGTGTTGGTGCTAGAGACAGAATGGAAACCCAGCCTCCAGCCTCACGGAGGGCTCCCCAACCTTGCTAGTCGGTGTGAGCTTCTTGCTTAAGTTTATGACCCAGACACGCAGCTTTAACTCTACAGCCTGGCATTCAAGGCCTTCCAGAATCTGGTACACCCCCCTACTTTAGCAGATCTCTCTTTTCTATTCCTCACTTGCAATTTTTATTTATTTATTTTTTCTTGTACTGGGACTCAAACCCAGAACCTTGTGCTTACTGAGCTACATCACCCGCCCATCACTTGCACTTTTTAATATCGCTGACTTTGGTAGTTTTGGTTAACTCATCTCCATGCACAAAAATAACTGACTTGGGGCTGAGGGTGTAGCTCACTGATAGAGCGCTTGCCTAGCATGAGCAAGGCCTGGGTTTGACCCCCAGTAGGTACTGCAAAAATAAGGTCTCAAGCCCTATGTCTGGCCTCTGGAAGTTTTAGCAAGGGGATCTTTTCTTTGGCACCGAGGGGCCGCAATCATTTTCTGGCAAAAAATAGTATTTTTATCTGCCTGTCACAGATAACTGGGCCACGGTTTGTGGGTACCATACAACCAAACTGAGGAAGAAGCATTTCAGCTCCACAGCTCACTAGGAGTCTGAAGCAAAAGACAGAGGACTAGACGCAGGACTAGAGATGCACAGGACTAATATATTTTACAGACTGCATGGGCAGGGCTTACAGTTAACAGGGTGTGACGGATCCTGTACTCACACACATGAATGCTTGACATTTGTCTTTCAGAATGCACAGGCTGATGCATTTACCCTAACCTTTGCATTAACGAATGGACCTTTTTAATTAGGGTGGGGCAAAACAATTTTTTTGGTGACAGAAAAAATTAATGTAATGGCCCAGCAGCTAAGTCATGCAGATCCTAGTTACCAAAGGCTCAGTGGCCTGTTAGATATAAATGTAAAGATACTAGTTCAATGATGGCTGCCTTTACTTCCTTCCCTTGTCTCCCTCCCTCTTTCTTTTCTTTGTTTCTTTCACAATATTTTACTGTGCATTTCAGGCTGACCCCAAACTTGCTACATAGCTCAGGCCGCCTTCAAACTCACCATGATCCTCCTGCTTCAGCTTCACAACCATGCCCAATGAGGCAGTGATTATCTTCAATGAAGTCAGTATCCCTCACTCGTGCTTAGGAGAGGGTGTTTGCTTAATGGAGTTGCCATTAAGATGCTGTGGGTTCTGAGTTCTGCTTCAACAAGGGTTCCATTTGGGAGCACAGATTCAGTGGGCTGCAGCTGGTTTTCAATCCAAGGAGGAAAAGTCAGGGATGAAGTTTTCATTAGATTCCTTGTGCCCAGTTTCCTTGTTCTTCCTCACCCAATACTCACTGCTGCCCAGACTCCAGCCAGTCCTGGCAGTTGGATTCCACATGCAGTGGGGGACCTTGCTCGCTAATAGAAGAGAAACAACTGTCCACAGACAGACTGATCAAAGGCAGTGGCCACAACCATTTCAGGGGCAGCTTTTTGAGTTGGAAAAGCCATAAAACTGCCCTACACAAAATACTGGATCACTAGCTGGGGCCATCTGCTCATCCCCTGCAGGGCATCAGTCTCTAAGATCTTGGATGGAGATCCAGGTTAAAGATCACACCTCCCAGGACTGCTGGTCCTGCGAGGAGGCTCAGCCACTTCCTGATTGCAGCAAGACTTGGTCTTTCCTATGGAACACCAACAAACCTTCCTCTTTCCTGAAGAACAGTTGCCTGGGACTCTTGTTCTGCCTTTGGCAAACAGAAAGAAGAAATGTCTGTCCGCATTGGCTGGAGGGAAGGAATTAGGTTTGCTGGCACTGAGACCAGATTCCTCTAGCTGAGCAGGAATTGGAAGGCACGATCATGTTTTTTGGTGGGTTCATTTGTGTTCCCCAGGTAAAGAAGTGCTGATCAGACATGGTAGAGAAAGTTGGAAGTTTGGCAGCTGAGGAATAGAATGGTAAGAAGGAGAACTGAGCATAAAGTGTATAATTATGCGACAGTTACTTGCTTATATTCTAAGAAACATAGACTTAATACAGTAGTCCCTGATCATTCCAGGTCTTACTCTCCATGGTACAAGTACTCATTGTCAGTTGCAAATCAAAAATATTAAGTGGAAAATTCGAGAAATAAATAACTCACAAGTTTTAAATTGTAATGTTAATGGGTAGTGTGGTGAAATCTCACACTGTCTTGCTCCATTCTCCCTACCCGAGATGTGAATCATCCCTTTGTCCAGTGCATCCACCCTGTATACGCTACCTGCCTGTTAATCACTTTAGTAGCTACTGTCGTCACCACATCATCTGTCATGGGTCTCAGTGCTTGCATTTGAGTGCTCTTAGTTTACTTATTAATAACCCCAAAGCACAAGAGAAGTGGTGCTGGTGTGGTAGAGCACACCTGCAATCCCAATATTTGGGAGGCTGGGGCAGGAGGATCTCCATGAGTTCGAGGCCAGCATGGGCTACATAGTGAATACAAGCCAACCTGAAATACATAGTGAGACCCTGTCTCAAAAAAATAAACAGAAACACTAGTGGTTTTGGCAATTGTTTATAGTATACAGTTACTGCTATAATTGTTCTCTTATTAGTGTTGTTAATCTCTTACTGTACTTAATCTAAATATTATGTTTTATCATACATATGCATATTCAGAGAAAACAGTAAATGCAGAGTTTGATACTATCTCTAGTTTCTTATACCCACTGGGGGTCTCAAAAGAGTCTCCACACATGGGGGACTACTGTAATGTGGACAGAATACTCTGCCATCCACAATCTAACATAAGGACAGAGCAAAAACATGGATATGTCAGCTAAACACCAACTGGTGTCTGTCAAATATTATATAATGAGAAATAAAGCACTGGTATTTTTGTAATTTTGATCACAGGCAAAATATAGTTTATATACACTTGGAGGACAGCCAACTAGCATTAGGATTATCTCCCTAATGGAATGTGCCAAACAAATACACCACCCTGCATGTACACACACACACACACACACACACACACACACACTCATGCCTCTGTGCTGGTGGCAGTTCAGCCTGGTACTGGTGGAAATGATGTAGAGTCAAATGGAAGGACTTTGCGATTGTATAACATGTAATCTCGGGCACACATGTCTGATAATGGATGTGGGGAGTTCGGCAGGTCTGGGCGTTCCCTTGGAAGTGGCTAGTGCTCAGAGAAACTGAGTGTTACTGATCTAAGATAAGGATTTTGCCTTAAAGAAAATAAGAAATAGTTTATCCGGAGCCAAATACAAATGACTATGAATTGGGAACATGGATTCAGGTTACCCTAAACAACATGTTCCACTTTGGAAGCGGCTACATGATCTTTTAGAATTATAGAGCATAAGCAAGTCATAAATAGATACATTTACCAGTGACTTTGGTAGAAGAATCAGGTAGGCAGATCACAGCAAGACAGATAAATCTCTGTTGTGGAAGCCAGATGTTATCTTATAGCATTCTCAGTGTTAAGGGTGGTGGGGGCTGGAGGACCCCTTTTGAGAAAGTTAGGTCAGATGCAAAAGTTAAGAGCCCAAGATAGCCTGACATCGTTCTGGATCTCAATGTACAATGCACAACGCTCCACCTCCACACCATCAGGATAAGAAGTGGGCTGGGGTCAAGCAGTCTGCAGGCTCTTGAAAGAAACACAGATGCAGCTTCTTCTGATAATTCAGTTCACACCAAGCAGTTTCTCCTGCCTTTGCCTTCTCTGCCTGTTGGGAGTGCTGCACAGTGTGAGCTCTTAGATGGGGAAGTGAAGAAGCTGACCCCTTCGGCACTACCGTACTTGTGAACTGAATTAGGATCGTGTTGTTTGGGGCAGGCCTTGTAATCTCTGCCAAGGAGGGGTGAGGCCATTTGGTGAGGAGGTTGATGCTACAGCCACCCAAGTATGACCTGGTGGAGGATGCTGCGTCAGGACAGTAGGAATGTCCAGGTCTGGCAGGTGCACCCCAGGCCTCCGGGGGCTCCCAGAACTTCCAGTGCTTTTGCTTTGTAGCTCTTCACCTCAACTGTCTCCCATCCAAGTACTAACCAGGCCTGACCTTGCTTAGCTTCCAAGATTGGGTGCATTCAGGGTGGTGTGGTGGCAGACCACAGCTGCCATTGGTCGCGTGGATGATCATTTCTATGGCTTTGTGTCCCAGGCACAGTCTGGATTAGTTGCTGCCAGGTCCACTGTACCCAGTGTCTCAACATTGGCTGAACACAATGCAGTAAGCTTTATTACTTATATATACAGTGTAAAAACGAAGATGGGCATGGAGACGTTTGACAACAGATTCAGAGAAGTGAACAATTCTGTGGGGGAAAAGGAGTTTTAATCCTAGGTGATACTTAGAAAATCTTCAGTTGCATCTGTAATTTTTTTTCACAAGTATTGTAATTTATTGTAATTTATTTCACAAGTATTGATTGCATGATATCTTTTTGCTGAAAGTTCCTTATAATACATTTAAAATACACCCAGGAGCACACTGTCATCCCAGCACCTTGGGAGGCTGAAGCAGAAGGATCCCAAGTTCAGAGGGAGGATACCTTGTGGAGGTAAAGGTGGAGATCAGGGTGCTGCTTCTGCAAGCCGAGGTGCACACAAGAAGCTAAAGGAATGGCATAAAGCTAATTCTGTCTCATGGTCCTCGGAAGGGATCAACTTTGATTTTGGACTTCTGTGAGATGAGGTTTTCTGTTGCTTAATCTTCCAGTTGGTGGTCTTTGCTATTGCAACCTTAGCAGTCTCCTACGATACCTGTCTGGGTGAAGCCCTGCTCTTTGATGCCTCTGCCCTCCTGCTCATGACCTCCCAGGTTACAGAATGTTGCCAGCATTTGCTTGTGGCTGCGCTTTTTTGTCCGTCTTCGGAGTACTTCACAGAAAGCCTTCAGTCTTGCTTTGGAATGTCCATTCCTTTATTTTCTCAATCATAACCACCCTAAGTTGTTGCTCCCATGCCAGTGGACTTGCCTTATCTGTTTTCCGTGTCTCTATCAGCTACTCTGTGTCCATAGACTCAGTCAGAGACTACTCAAAACCTTCCCTTTACATACTGTGAAGTTTACCATTCCTGTCTGCTTTTCATCTACTAAAAGCAACCGGTGATCACAGACTCCTCTGCTTTAGCAAGCTCTGAATGAAAGCTCTGTCCATTCTCACTTGGGTGGTCTTTGTTTCTTTCAGCAGAATGAGTGATCTGTGCTTTCCCCAGTGGGTTGGTAGCTTGGGGACAGCCTTGAGCCGTGGGTGGCATCTGGGCCACAGTGTGGGGATGACACATCTTGATGATGTCCTTGGTGGTCCTGGCTCCTCCTGTGACTGAGATTTTAAACTCTCTTTTGAGCCCCCTCGTAGCCCCCCCTTAGGATAAGTGGGCAGGGTGCTTTCTATACTCAGGTGGAGAGAGGGGCCTGGAAGCTGTGATGATCTGGACACAGGTGACAAAGTGAGCCCTGGCCTGGAAAAGCTCCACGGGTACTGCTCTTGCTGGCCCAGACAGCCACACAGTTTGCAGTGTTCTCCCAAAGCCTTGTCATTCCCATTTGTCAGATGCCATTCAGCAAAGCAGGGACCATCTGAGCGCTGGACCAGACAGGTTTCCAGCCCTACTCACAGAACTGCTGCTGGCCTTTTTGTTCAGCCCTAGTTAGCAACCCTGTCACTTGCCTCTTGATAAATTTGCCTTGGACTCAGCTTATCCCAGAAATACTCTCTGATGTTCAGATCTCAGGAGTTTTATTTCTTTCCCTACAAAAGGGCTCTGGGCTTCTAGTCATATTGGTCTATCCCTTTCCAGGGCTTAGGGTATGAGGTAGGATAGAAGAAATAAAGATAGGTAGAAAGGAGACAAGGGCATTACAATTTTAAAATTGTACTTTTAAGCTGGGCTTAAAACTCTTGAGAGATGAGGCAAGAGTTTGAGGCAAGTTTGAGCCTAGTCTGGGCAATTTAGCAACTTTGGGAGAATCTGTCTCAAAAACATAAAAAACGACTTCGAATGTAGTGAGAAAACCCTAGGTTCAATCCCCAGTACTACCACCACCAAAATACTAAATAAAGTAAAATAAAATAAAATGTTCTTTTAAGAAAATGCAGCTTTAAGACACAAAGTTACCCAAGGTTACAGTATCCTTTTGCATCCTAAGTCGTTTTCCTTAAGCTCCTTACTTCTAAATTTCAGAGTCTTAAAGATACAGTAAGTCTGCAAAATGAACCTGTGTTTTTCTTCTGATCCTTTAAATCCACAATTCCATACACTTCTACCCTCAAGGAAACAGCATTCTTCATTGGGTACCAACTACATCTCTAAACTTCAAAAACGTGAACAGTTTGCATTTTAACCTAGTCCACTAATGGGTAACCCGATGGACACTAGGTAAATAAAGAATATATATATAACATTTTGAGGATATCCCAAGATCTCATAAATACCCCAACCCTAGACAACAGTGCCCCCCCCCAGCAGGCAGCTTTGTGGGTGTATACTTCTTTGATTGTGTTTAATAAATCTACCAATGCTGACACACACTGAAATGCTTTTCCGTGTTGGGAGTCAGTGACCTACTGCTTGGGTGGGACAGTAGGAACAAGCTGAAGTCCCCAACTCCTCTGGGAGGACTTCCTCAGATTCCCCTGGGTGATAGTACCAGGGCATCCAAGGGAGTTGTGAAGACTGCAGTACAGTATCAAATTCTGTGTTCATAGGATGCTTAGACAAATGTGGCCACAGGAGGGAACACAGGATGGGCTTGAAGAAAATTTAGTATACTTCTAGATCCTAGACAGAGGACACCATGTGCCATGAAGGTCACATGGGACAACATGAGGGTGGACAGGAGTCAGCAGACTGGAATGAAGGGAGCACTTGGGCCTTTTACTATAAGTTTCTGAGGGAGAGGCAAGACAAGGCAAGATGGGTGGGGAACCAATTTAAGATTGGCCACTGCGATAATTTCCCAGGCAGAAGGTAGATTATAGTCGCCCGTAGCAAGCCCTGGGATAATTAAAGCGGGGGAATATTGCCTCAGGAGCATAGGGGCCATAGGTCTGGCTTTAGACTGGTTAGTTTGCATATGAAAAGCATACAGTGGTTGGCCGGCCCTTTGTTGGTTGTAAATCTCTAAGAACTGGCAAGCCCAGAAGGGGATCTCTCCCCAGCTAGATTTTTTTTTTTTGGTACCGGGGATCGAAATTGGGCCCCCATCAAGCTTGCAAGGCAGGTGGTGAAACCACTGAGCTAAATCTCTGGCCCTCCCCAGCTAGATTTTTGAAGATGTAAAAAATATAATATGCAGAAAAAAATACACTGTGCATTAAGTAATAAAACATTTCCTTTCTCCAGGACAAAAGTATGCCTTAATATTTACACACTGAAATAATTCATTTATGAGATTTTGCAGAATACAGAAAATCTGCTCAGGTTTTATTTCTGCTTTATACAGAGAAGCAGCTTCTGTGGTTTAAAATAAAAGTAAAGGGAAGAATTGCGGCTTTCCCAGGACCCTGCTGTGTGAATAGTTCCTGCTGTCTGCTTGGTCTCCTTTGTCTTCTGCTGCCCCTTCCACACGGCTGCAGGTGTGGCCTCTGTGCGACTTCCCTTTCCAGCTTTGGACTCCTGCTTTTCCTTTAGGGGTCAAAGACCGCACCACTGGCAAATTAATTATATAATCATTTGCTCTCTTATTCTCATAAATTCTAGCCTTTTCTCTTAACTGATGCACACATTCTCTGAGGCAGGAACCATATTTTCTTTTCTGTTCTTCAGTGCTTAGCATTCAATAACTAGTGAGCAGAAGCATCATCAAATATCTTCTGTAGCAAATGGCGCTTTCAGTATTTGAATCTTCATATAAGTCAACACTATTAAATATTTTTGAAGGCTACACAGATTATCAGTTTACATCATTAATATTTTAATTTAAAATATGTTCATAATACAACATTTTGAAAACTAAATTTTAACAATCAAAAAATTAAACATTTATAAAATTATTATTCAGATATTTTACATTGAATTAACTTTCCTATTTAAAAATTTTTGAATTACCCCAAACTAAAAATATAAAATCATGCCGCCCTTATCATACAAAATTGTAAATTTTCTTTTCTTTCTTTCTCCCTTTCTGTCTCTCTCTCTCTCTGTAGTGATGAGGATTGAACCTGGGGCTTCAGGCATACTAGGCAAATCCTCTGCCACTGAGCTATATCCTTAACCCAAAACTACATTTTCTAGTTGTCTTCCTCTTTATCTTTCCAATAGGATATCTACGTATCATAAATACATTTAAAAAATAATTTCAACGTGTCAAAAAGTCAAATGATTAAATTTTAGCAAAAATTTGGTATGTCATTTCTGTTGCTATGAAGATGAACACGGGATCGTTTGAATGCAAAGAGGTTTTTTTGGTGTCCTAGAAACATTCCCACCTTAAACATCTCCCTGCTGGGAAGATCATCAAGCTCTGTAGTCAGTGGTTCTGTGCCCTACACAGATGCTAGGGGGAAGCCTGTAGGATGGCACATTTCTGAGCCTCTAGACTTTACTTGGTGAGGAAGTAAGGCAATCAGGGACCCTTTCCCCAACCAGCTCCCAACAGGTATATTTATGTGTTCATCAGAAACAGTTCAGGAGTATGTGTGTAGATCCTGAATCAACAATGAATATGTGGTTTTATATCAGGGATCTTTAATATAAGTGTAAGGTTTAACTCTCCTTTGCTGACTTTCCTTTAATAATATGGAAAAAACAAAACAAAACAAACCAACTCTTATTCCAAGATCTGAAGTCAAGACTGCTTTTCATTTCTTCAGCTCCTAATAAGCACTGAGAAGCAATTTGCATCAATTTGCCACCTACTCCTTGGCATCCCCGATTCCTCCAGCAGTTATTGCGAAGGTGGCTTCATTTTCAGGCATCTCAGGGCTAACAGAATACAAAGGAACAGAAGTTTATAAAAAGCTCCATTTCTATAAATACTGCATTCATGTCACAGGCATCATGCTCCCATCAGTCTGAGTCTCCAGAGATATCTCAGATTTGGTACAGCTAAATGCGAACTGCAGAGTTTACTTAAAAGTATTATTAGCCCCCACAAACAGTTGTTTAACAAGTTCTCTGTATAAGGTTCTGAATTGAAGGAACACTACCCCAAACTTGGAAACAGGAACAAGGGACAAGCAGATATTCTTTCAGTGAGGTGTCAGGCAGCAAGTAGACCCCCCAGGGGGCTTATCTGATTCTGCAGGGCTGTGCACCTTTCTTCAACTACACTAATGCAGGGGAAACTGTAAAAAACTTTGAATGAAAGAAAAGATTACTGAGAACCTGCAGTGGAAGGACAGGCTATCTAGCACAACTTTCCAGTTCTCCAGTTCTAGGAGGGCTCTGAGCCACCTGCGGTCTTTGGTCGATTTTATAACTCTGTCAGTTGTAGCTATTTAAGTGTAGTGCAAATTAATATCGTCCATAGAAATGTAAATTGTGTGAGATGGAATGCCTTGGTTATTGTTCCATGGACATTGGCCCATTTTTGATCAATTTATAATTCATTTCAGAATTATTTGACCATACATGTCGAATGTATGTATACTTTTATTTTTTGATTTGGTTATAGAATCTTACTAGCTGCTCCTTAATAAGTTAAATAAAATCTTTGACAGTTTATATTTGTACTCGTTTTATATATAAATTTTAATATTTATTCTACAACACTGCAGAGTGAAGGTTAATTTGTAGAAAACCGATAGCAACACAGATGCTTCTTATCTGAGGGCAAGGCAAATGATTCCAAACTACAGCGATAGAAGTGAATTTCATTGTGTAGAGAAGCAATTCATTTTCCTTCAGCAGAAAGGAAAGTTACAATTTATTGCCTGGTAGGGTATTAACCAGTTTTGCACGTAGCAGATTTATTTCAGCATGCCTTTGACTATATAAATTTCTGTTCCTCGTTCCTCAAATTATCCTTTGAATCAGTGGTTTCCTCATTAACTAAGTAGTACATAAAATCTTTGATACATGTTCATTTTATATTTATTTGCAAGCAAGGCAAGTTATTCACTTTTTGAAAATCATACTTAGCATATACGAAACCCTGCCAATTATATAAAAATGAGACAGGGTTCTTAGTCTGAATAAGTCCATATGAGAGCTATGACAAGGTAAATATGCCTATGTTGTAATTCAAAGTAAGCGGTGTTTTATGAAGTCAGTCTAAATATTATAGAATGTTTAAGAAGGGAAGGGAAACATTGAGCCTGGCTAGGTCAATTAGAAAAAGCTTCAGAGATAATAACTGAAGACACCTTTGAAGAGGCAGAAATGGGACTATTCTAGGTAGAAGTAACAGCATGAACAAAATACGGAAATAGAAAAATCTATTTTGTGTACAAGAAGGGGGACAAATAAGAAGTTATATTTAGGTGTGTTGTGCTGGGGGTACCTGTGGGACATTCAAATATTCAAAACCTGAATAAAGTTTAGACTAGAAATAGAAACTTGAAGGTCACTGTCCACGAGAGAAAGATCCAACTGCTACTTTGTGCTGCTATTAAATCCAGGTTATAGTGACTGGTTAGCTGACATTTAAAAATAATTTTACTAATTTTTAGGAACCAGATTTGCTTATATTATTTCATTTGAACTTTATGACAACCATGCCAGGTATGTTTTATTGCCCATATTTTGCAGATGAGAAGATTGGAATTCAGAGAGAATCAATTTGCCTGCAACCACACCATTGGTGAGTGAAGATGCCAGGTGCCATGGTTCGGATGTGGTTGCCCTTAAGGGTTCACGTGTCAGAAGTTTGGTTGGAAATGAGAGGTGCTGAAATCTTTAGGAGGAAGGTCCTCCTGGGAGGCTTTCAGGCACTCGGGGTGTGGCTATAGAAGGGACCAGCACCGTTGGGAACTCCAGGTTAGTCCCCCCCACCCCCCCCCCCCACGCCCCCGGATCGCACCCGTCCTTCTGTACGTGTCAGAAGTTTGGTTGGAAATGAGAGGTGCTGAAATCTTTAGGAGGAAGGTCCTCCTGGGAGGCTTTCAGGCACTCGGGGTGTGGCTATAGAAGGGACCAGCACCGTTGGGAACTCCAGGTTAGTCCCCCCCACCCCCCCACCCCCAGTACCTGGATCGAACTCAGGTCCTTGTGCTTGCAAGGCAGGCCAGGCAGCAGAACCACAGTGAAATCCGCGCCCCCCAGGTTAGTTCTTGAGGGAGGACACTGTAATGGAAGCCTGAGCCTGACCCCTGAGTTGCTCTCTGGCTTCTGGTCTGGTGAGGTGACCTCTCCCTCATATACAGATGTGAGGACTGAGTGAGGTCATCTGTCACCATGAGACTTTTAGCAGAGGCCAGTTGATGCTGGTGCCAAGCTCTTAACTTTCAAGACTGTAAGCTGAATAAACCTCTTTTCTTTATAAATCCCAGCTTTAGGTATTTCTTTTCTTTTTTTTTGTACCAGGTATCAAACTCAGGTCCTTGTGCTTGCGAGGCAGGGAGCGGAACCACTGGGCTAAATCCCCAGCCCTAGGTATTTCTTATAGTAATGAATTGATCACAACTAGAGACCAAGGTATTTGACTCCACAGTTCATGTTATTAATCATATTGTTTCTCAAGGTTTTTGTTTGTTTTGCAGTGCTGAGGATTGATCCCAGGAAGCACTGAGCCATATCCCCAGTCCTTTTCATTTAGTTATTTGTTTATTATTTTTAAACAAGGTTTTACTAAATTGCCTAGGCTGACCTTGAACTTTATCCTCCTGCCTTAGCCCCTTGAAAAGCTGCAATTATAGGCATGTACCACTATGCCAGGCTGGCTGTTTTTTTAATTTTGTCTGGTTGGCTGTTTTGTTTGAAGGGCAGATTAGGCAGTGTGCCTTTGAGTGTACAGTGGGTAAGGGTTATTTTCCTTAGAAACAGCAGAGGGGTCTCCTCTGAGGATAGCAAATGGCCTATACATAGTTAGGTCTTGCTGGACTAAACCAAGAGTGAGAAAGCTTAAGTGGAAATACAAAATAATTTGGCCTTGTTGCAAACTACTCATTCAGGTACTTTAGATGGCAGAAAGTAGAATGAAAGCTCTCTCTAGAGGTAGACAGGAGCTGAAAAGGAGAAGTTAGGAAAGTAGTTTTAGAGTTGAATGAAGGTTAGTTTTTTGTTTTACCTTAACTCAGACTTAGAAGCAATTACTTCAAAAACAAGTATTTTTTATAGCTTTTCATTTGCTGGTAGTTACTTAAAATTTTCTTTTGAATTCTTTGTAATGTCTGTTGATTTCAGATATGCTAAGTAGATTAAAGTAAGTGGGGTTCTAATTTGCTCACTTAAAAGTTTGAAATCAGCAATAGTAGTGTTACTTAAAGAAAAGGGCTGGGTCAAATTTTTTTTTTTTTTTGTACCTGGGATCAAATTCAGTACCTTGTCCTTGCATGGCAGGTGTGGTGCTGCTGAGCTAAATCCCTGGCCCAGTTTTATTTTTTAATGTAGTGGTGGGCATTGATGAACCCAGGGACTCATGCATGCTAGGCAAATAGTCTACTGCTGAGGTACATCCCAGCCTGGACTGGGTTAATTTGTTTTGTTTAGTTTTGAGACAGGGTTTTGCTATACAGTTCAGGCTGGCCTTGAACTCACTATGTAGCCCAGGCTGGCCTCACAGCAATCCTCTTGCCTCAGCCTCCTGAGTACTGGGATTACAGACATGTACTACTACACCAGGTTGGACTGGGCCAATTCTTTTCTCTCTCTCTTTTTTTTTTTAATTAAGTTTACTGGTACATTTTAGGTATTCAGTATGATGACATTCATCATTGGGAATTTGTACCTTTACATGATATATCTTGGTTCTTTTTTTCCCATTCCCCTGCTCTCCTTTTAACCCCTCCATCTCTCCCTATTTACAAAGACTGTTTCTATCTTTTCCTTATTTCATATTTATTTGGATTAATTCTGGTAATTACACCTGCATACCTGGAAATTCTTCTGAGAACTCTTTTCTGCTCAATTCTTGGGGATTTTTGTGCTTTCTTTTAGCAGCAAATCTCTTTCATTTATATCTATTTAAGATGTCATTGCAGCTATGAGAGTAAGTCTAGTAGACAAGTTATGACTACTCTAAGTAGAGCATTCTTGGTAAACTAGGAAACAGTGTAATGATTTTAAATGCATAATTTTAGATTCAGATTCTAATCTTAGTTTCATCTGCCATTTGTTGTATGAAGCAGCATAATGCATTTATTCATTATGCAAATATTCATCAACTATGTTCTATAGACCTATTGTAGGCACTTGAGATCTGTATGTGAAAAAATAAAAAATAGACAAAGATCCCTGCCCTTGAGGACCTTATATTTGGGGAGAGGAAATACAGACAATAAATAATGCACATAATAAATATATCATGTGTTATGTTACAACACCAATGCTATGGGGAAAGAAAAAGAATAACTGAGTAAGGGAGATTAGAAATATGGGCATTTGGAAGAGGTCAGCTGTAATTTTAAATCAGTAGGTTGAGACAGGCATTGTTGAGAAGGTTAACATTTGATCAGACTTGAAGCAGGAGATAACTAGGTAGATTACTGCAGGCAGAAGAAGCAACAAGTGCAAAGACTCAAGCAGCCTGTTTACCAACATCAAGGTGCCTGAAGTCTGCGTGTGAGGAGGGTCTATGACACGACAGTCAGATAGGGCCTTTCTTGGAGTCCTGTGTAAACTAGAGACTTGCACCTTTCATTCTGAGTTAAGATGGGAAGCCACTGGCAGAGGGTAAGCATAGGACAGATGTGATCCTACTTTTACAAAAGTTTGCTGTGGCTTCTGTGTTTAAAATGGATACATTGTTTACCTCACTGCTCCCAGCCTTGACTGCCTCCTGTATAGAGTGGAGATAACCTTTACTTCTTAGATTTTTTTTATAGGTAATAAAATACAACATATAAAGCACTTGGAGAAAGGCCTGTACATAGTAGCAACTCAATGTTAGCTATAGTTATTAGCATTACCATATTTTCTAAAAAAGTTTTTCTCAAGCTGGGCATGGTGGTGTACAAATGTAATCCCAGCTATTCAGGAGACCAAAGCAAGATGATCAAAAGTTTAAGGCCAGCCTTCACAGTTTAGCAAGACTCTGTCTCAAAATAAAAAAATGAGTATGGCTCAGTGGTAGAGTCCTTGACTAGGATGTGTGAGGCTCTGGGTTCCATCTCCAGCAACGCAAAAAATAAATAAAATTTTTTTTTCTCAAGTTAAGCATGAGTCTTTGTAAGAATTCATTAGGGAGTAGCAGGAAATAAGTGCATGGTGTGCAGCAAACTAAATTTTGATATTTTAAGCTCTGGTCCAGTTTTGCTGTATTGATTCAAGTTTATGGAAATTCAACATAACTAAACTTCCATGATAATTTACTGTTAAAAAGGGTTGAGAAAGGTTCCCTGAGAAAGAGATGTTTATACTGAAACTTGGAGCTGTGGCATACTGGGGTAATCCTAGTACTTGGGAGGATAAGGCAGGAGGATTGTCAATTTGAGGTCAGCCCTGGCTACATACAAGTTCAAGGCCAGCCTGGACAACGTAGTACAGCCCTGTCTCAAAAACTAAAACTAACCAACCAAACAAAAACCCCTGAAACCTGAAAAGTGCATGGCATTAACCTGGCGAAGAGAAAAGAGAATATATTCTCATATTCTTCACTTTCTCAAAACCTGTCACCCTTTAACTAGAATTGATGTGACCTCATTATCTAGCTTCACTGTGGGTTTTCAGAGGTCAGGGAGGAAGTATGTGTATTAACAGAACCCCTGAAACTCCTGAAACACCTAGTACTCAATAGGTCCTTCCCAATCACTGAATGATTTTTGAGAAGGAAATTTAAATATGTAGCATCTACCAGTGGAATAATTATAGCCTCTCAAGAGCAGTGATTCTGTTTGAAACCATATGCACGAGAATGTGACGAAGAATAAGAAAATATTTACCTGTCATAAATCTTGGCAATTCTCAGTTCTCCTCTTCCCTTTCGCAAGCTTATTCTTGTTGTTGAAGCATGAGCCAGAATGTGTCCCCCAATGGGTTTCTTGGGGTCTGCCTGAAAGCTGAATTAATAAAACACCTTTTCAGGCTCCATGGCACAGACTATATATGGCAAGATTAGTAATGACAAGGCAACATTTCTGTGGAGGATGGTAGAGCTTGGAGTAGGTGTGTATTTTGAGCAAGTAAAGGCTTGTTCATGAGCTCTGCAGTGGGGTTGGGGCTTGAAGCTACTGTTTGTTCCACTACCGCCTAGGTTAGACTTCTAAGATTCTTATGATAAATAGTTCATGTTTTATTTGACTTTTAAGAAAGAGATTACTACTGAAAACCACAAAGAAAACATCATGCGCTGTCTCAGGATAATTCTTGGAGTTAAAAAATGTTCTTTACAAAATACAAAGAATTCATTCATTCATCAGAAATATTTTTAATGGTCTATTATGTGTTAGGTACTGTTCTAGTCTAATGAATAAGAATCGCCTAGCCATTCTCCTTGATGCTGTATAAACGAAAAGCAGATGGAAGCCAGGCAGGATGGGCACACCTGTAATCCCAGTACTCTGGAGGTTGAAGCAGGAGGATTGCCCCGCGTTTGAGTTCAAGGCAAGCCTGAACCACAAAGCAAAAGAAACAAGAAGGCTGGGTCACTTTACTGGGCAATTGAAGGTATAGTAAAGCAATAAAGCCACCTAGGTTGGATAAAATAGCTAGACAGCTGAGTTGTCTCAATAATACAGATCAGTGCCATTCTTTAATAGAGTGGCTCTGAACTTTCCAGGTCACCCCATTGTGGGTGGTTCTTCATGATTTTAAAAGAACCTTATGTCCTACAGCAATAGGCTGCTTGAAGCCCTGATGGTCTTTGCAAGTGGGCTGTGAACTCTGAGCCTGCAAACAATGATTTATGCTTTTCTAATGTACTTTTCATGTTCTGCCTTTGGTACTATCACTCACTTATCTCTTATAGCCTTATAGTCTGCCTCAATTCACCCCCTATTCCCCATCACTAAGCTCTTTAGGAGTGGATGACACTGAATTTAGTACTGAGCAACTAGTCATACCGTTGGTGTTCAAACATGTTTCCTGAGCCTAAGACATGGGATCTACAAAAATTTCAAGAATATTGGATTGCAGAAAGAGGAGTGCCTTCACAGAAATTAAATACAAATAAAATTGAGACCAGCTGGAAATGTCTTCAAAAAGAGATAAGAAGGCACAGTCAGGGTTCACTAAAGGGACAGAGAGAAGTCCTAGCAGCTGTGTTACTGCCTGTGACAGGTGGTCTCTCAATATTGCCCAGTGATTCTCCTGAATGACACTGTTTGCTATTACCAATGTGATACCCCATGCTTGTCACTGATTGCTTTGAGTGAAGAGCCTGAAGGTCAAGAATGTTATCTTCCAAAGGAGATGAACTATATGAATGAATACATAAATAAATGAATAAATAAAGGATTTGCAAAAAGTCTAAGACAACATATAGGAAAGATATTTTAGGATCAAAAAAGTTATCAACAGTGATTCATAAACTAAGAGGTTATATTTCATCAAAATAGTGACATATCACATAACCTTAGCCTGAGAGCATTTCAAGCCAATTCAAATTTTGTTTATTCCATCAAAGAGTTCAGGATTCTGTGTAGAATTTGATATGGCTCTTAATGTTCCTTCTAGGGCCTTAACATTTTGATAATTTAATAAAGGATATAGACTCTCCTCCAGCAAAATGTACATACGCATACATATAAAAATTTACATGTAAGTTTAGAAGATTCATGACACCCCCCCCACCATGTACATGAATAATACTAATAGTAGTAACTAAGATTTACTGAGTCCTCACTACGTGGCAGACATTAAGTCATTTAATTATTTCCCTTGGCTTAGATTCCATATTTAGTAAATAATTAGCTTAAAATTTGGATCTTTGTCTATTTACAGGAAGAGAATGTGCTTATGGGTCACATGAATTCAAATTTGGTTACTTTTTTTCCTTATCAATAGCCTGGCCCTCTGGTTTTTTATTCATTCTTGTGAACTTGACTACTGTAATTCTGTCTGTAAGAGATGGACTGGTTTTCTGTAGGCTGACCAAATCAAACCTCAGCCTTTAAGGTGAGGCTCTGAGTTGTGGTTATTTGCAAAAAGTAATGAAAACATGCCTGTACTTTCCAGGGGACAGCATGCCAACCAGATATACTGTGTGGTGGATGAGCTTTGGACCTAGACTTGAGTTCAAATTCTGACTCATCGATTGCTTTATTCAATCTTCATTTTAAATGGGGAATTACAACTCTATCTGACTGATAGGATGTTGTGAGAATAAGATGAAATAATTCAAGTAAAACATTAGCCCAGTGACTACAATTAGTATTATTTATCTGCTTTCTTAATCCTGATTCAAATGCTCACCTGTTTACTGTGGGCTGTTTACTTTTATGAACCTCAGTTTTGTTGTTTTTGCAGTCAAATGGGAATAGAGACCTCACCTTTTAGGGATGTTGTGAGGAACCAAGATGTACTTAATACAACTCACTGGGAGCCTACTATGTGCCAGGAACAATATCTGGTCACTTATATGCATTAGTTTTACTTTTATCGCAATCTTGGCACAGAAGAGCTCTTCAATAAATGGTAACTATCATTATTTAACTTTAGTGCTTTAGTTTAAACAGCCACTCTTTCAATGATAAGTAGACTAAAAAAGTTTTCTTTTCTTGGTCTTCAAACTTTCTGACTATTCTCAAAGACTTCACCAAGTCTTGAGGTGAAATACAAGAAGGTGTAATAGCACTCCACATTCTTTTAGAGGGCTTTAATTTACTTCTATTTCTGACCAAGTTAAACAGCATCAGAAAGCCACCCACATCCCTCTGTTAGCCTATTCTCTTATTTTCACTTTTTTTATGTTTTCTTCTCTCCATTCCTCCTTCCTCCGGAGACTGGGGAGTACAACAAGGAGGAGGAGGAGAAGTGGAGGTGGGGTGGGTATTAGGAGTAAAGAGGGACTACGAGAGATTAATCATTTCTCCCACTCTGGCTAAACAGAGTGGCAAAGTATAACGTTGAGGGCAGGTCCCAGCACAGCCTGGTCTCCTAACTTCAAATTAGAATGCTGGGGTCATAAGGCATAAAGCCATAGGATGAGGTGAGATGGGAGGATAGCATAAGGAGAATAAGAGCATCAACTCTGAAGTCAAAACTACCTAGGTTCAAGTCCTGGCTTTCTTTGTTTTTGTTTTTTGGTACTGGGGATCAAACTCGGGTCCTTGCGCTTGCGAGGCAGGCACCGGAACCACTAAGCTAAATCCCCAGCCCTTTGTTTTTGAATTGTATGATGGGGCAACCAGTAAGTACTCTGAGCTTTCATTTCCACCTTTATAAAGCAGGAATACTTATACCTACCTCAGAACCCTGAGGGGCATAGGCTAGGTCAAGCCAGAGGTACAGCAGGCATTCTGGTGCCTTTGACTACAGATGGGGTTTTTGAGAAGGGGTCCATTGAGGAGAGAAAGACTGAATGAACTAGCCCAAGAATGAGGAGGAGGCTTTGGGACTAAGGGAATGTGGGGAGAAACAAGCACTGCCAAGAAAGAATTTTTAGGTGAGAGAAGGGATGGTTTTTAGAAAAAGAGTATGTTTAAGAAATTTTGTTAAGTAACACTTGCCTTCTGTCTGCTCCCAAAATATGGGGAAAAAACTATGTTTTTTTCAGTATTTTGAGGATAGAATTCTGGGGTTTTGGGAGGTGGGGTGAGAAGTGATGCATCTGTATATTGAGATTGGCTTCACAGAGAAGCCCAAGGAGACTGAGTTACATCAGGGCCATTTGAGAATTATATAAGATAATGCATGACAGCTTGGGGTACATGGTAAGTAGTCAATGGAGTTGTCTCTTAATTTCGGGGAGGGGAGACCAGAGTTTAAATTGTTAGATGCCTTGCACAGGGTTCCATATTGACCCTGGTTTAGTATTTTTTCTCTACACATATGACCTCTTAATTCATGCTAATGATGGTGAATCGGCAGGTGACATCCTACCATACATTTGTAAGACCGCAAATGTTCTAAGATGTTTTAGGAAAATATACAAAAGGAAGAATGTGACAACATCATGTCTTATTTGGTGCTCCTGGTGTGCAGTTTCCCAGTCTGCTCCTTTGACTTAATATCTCCAGGCTTTCATCAGCTGGATCATTCCAGTTCTAAAATCTGTAAGCCTCATGTAGGAGCTGCTGCTCTGCTGTATGGTACGGCAGTTCCTCGCCTCTATAATTTTGTTCCTTTTTAATACGCTGTGCTATCAAGTATAATGCATGGGATATAAGCCTCAATTATTGTCAGTGTACTTGGGGACTCGTACCAATTATAGTGATATTTCTCTGACAGGCCCCAGGCGAGCTGCAGCTTGGAGTTCCTCAACACTGAGAAACAAAGATATTTTCTTTATGGGAGGTTTTCTAGTAGCATTTGAAACCCTTCAGTTTAAAACTGTCCTGATTTTTTTTTCATTTATATGTGATAATTTCTGCTCTTTACATGTAGTCATGTATTCAATCTGTACTGTTATAATTTCATACACTAATTACAGTGAACCTTATTTCCTTCCAACTTGGCTGGGTGGAGCAGAGGTTTCACAGCAGACTCAGCCAGCAAACACTAGCCTTTGTCACATCTCTGGCTTTCTCCTTAGCTCTCTTCATTACACATCTCCTCCCATTTCTGATACCCTCTTCAATTATTTCCTTTCTGTCACCTTTCCATTTCTCTTTTTATTGTCTTACTGGAGTTAATTTAAAATGGTTTTACTTTTTGAAGCTTTCTACAAATATAAGAGAAAAGAACCCCTATCTGACCTAATTTTCACTGATTTCCTTGCCTTCCATCTCCAGGGTGACAGTTTTGGACTCATCAATGTTCCCTCCCAACACCTGAGGAGAGAACATTGCTCTTTAACTTGTACTGTTTTATTTGAATGCAACCCACTTCCTCCCTCTGAGCCAATGACTCATTTTCTCTTTTTAAAGAGAGTCTTAAAAATCTTCCATTTCTCTTCAGTTTAAAATTATTCTTTTTGTGAAGTACTTCATGTCCTGTGTATGAAAGACACCCCACAAGACAGAAAACAACCTTCAACACTCAAGGACTACACTAATATGTGAAACATACCAAGACTAAAACTTTTTTTGTGTAAAAAAATAAAATGTTGAGTTAAGTGGACACCATTTACTTTTCTCTATGGAGGCAAGGGTTCTTAGCTCTTGTTCCCTAGTGAATTTCCAGAATCCTGTTACATAGTAGGGTTTTGTTTTGTTTTTTGAGCCAGAGTCTCACTATGTGGCCCATGCTGGCCTTGAACTCATGGTCATTCTTGCCTCAGTCTCCTCAGTGCTGGGGTTACAGGTTTGTAATAAGTATTTGTTAAATTAAGAAATGATTGATATGATTGATTTTCTCCTCAATCTTTTTTTTTTTTTGTGCTGGGGACTGAGCCCAGGACTTGGCACACAGAGCATGCTAAGCATGAACCACTGAGCCACAGCCTCGATCCTACTCTCCTCAACCTTTTTAACATTTTAAATGCCATTTGTGTAGTTAACATTTTCACACTGGGATCTTTTATAATTAATTAGAAAATACTCATAAGAGGTACTGAAAAGTAAGAGATACATTAGACTGCAGAAGATACAGCTTGACTGGGAGGGCAAGTTTAGAAAATGCCTAAAGAGAGGCACATTCATTTCAGCAGGATTTATAGAATTTACACTAGTGTGTCAAATGTCTTCTAATACATATCTCTGTGACTCATTTAATCTGCCACTACATGATGAATTGCCTTGCTTTTAAAGTAATGTCTCTTTGTATTGCAACCTCAGAGCAATAATTGATTTAGGCAAGAATTTTCAATGGATACTGAAATAAATGGTGAAAGCTTATGCAGAACAAGGTATTCATAGTCAAAATATCACCCCACAAATTATTAATTTCCCAAAGGAATTTTTGTGTCTTCTACAATATCATGAATACCATCTTTTTTCATGAATATCATCTTAATCACATAACCATAGTTACCTTAATAAAGGGACAAACTGCCATCATGTGCCCCCTGACATGATATAAAGAGGAGACCATAATATCATTTATGTAATGTTTCTGTCAAAGATGTTTAAGATTTCAAATAATGAGGTGGGTTTTATGGCACATGCCTGTAATCTCAGCACTAGGGACACTGAGGCAAAAAGATCACCACAAGTTCAAGGCCAGCCTGGGCTACATATTGAGTTTAGGGCCAGCGTAAACTACATAGCAAACTCCTGTCCCAGAAAGAAAAAAGTTTCAAACAATGAGAGGAACACTGATTCCAAATTGAGGGACATTGTAAAACAGTTGGCTTGCTCTTTACCATGTCAGTGTCAGGTGGGGGATTTAGCTCAGTGGTTCCACCTCCTGCCTTGAAAGCACAAAGTCCCAAGTTTGATCCCCAGTACCAAAAAAAAAAAAAAAAAAAAAAGTCAGTGTCATAAAAGTCTAACAAAGGTTCAGGAGTCCTAATTAAACGAGATTAAAGAGATACAATAAGGGGGGCTGGGGATTTAGCTCACTGGTGTTGCTGCCTGCCTTGCAAGTGCAAAGACCAGAGTTCGATTCCCAGCACAAAGAAAAAAAAAAAAAAAAAGAGAGCGAGATACAATAATGATATGCAATGCATGCTCTTCAACTGCTCCTAAATCGAGAGCAAAATAAAAAAAATCCCAATGACTATAAAGGACCTTTTTGGAACAACCAGAGACACATGGATAGAAAGAACTGCAGATTAGAAAACACTAAATATTATGCCAATGTTAAACTCCCTGAATGTGACAATCATATTTTGGTTATGTAGAAGACTATTCTTGTTCTTAGAAGAGATACGCTGAATTAAGAGGTAAAAGTGTCATGGTAACTACAAATAATAGCAGTTACGGGGAAAAACACCTCCTAAACAACTCACATAAACAATAATATATATGTGATTGCATATGCACACACACGTGTGTGTGTATGGATAGATAAAAAGATTTTATAGATACACACAAGGGAAAATGTGATAAAATGTTAATTGAAAAATCTAAGTAAATGATATGTGTGTCCTAATCTTGCAGCTTTTCTCTGATTAAATTTTTTTCTAAGTAAAATGTTACTTAAAATGTTTTACAAAGCAGAGTTAGCTCAGGTTATTCTGATTGCTTATTCAGACCCACAAGGCTCATAATTTTGGATGGTGACAACTAAAGTCTCCTTGAACTTTGTTTTTACTACCCAATTTAGCTTTCCTTGCCTTTCTATTCCCTACCACCTTCAAATAGAGCCATCAGTAGTTCTGGTGTGTGTATACATATTGCAGCAAATTCTGAATATGCCTCATACAGACTGAAATTCTGTTTCTCTGAGCAGATTTCTCTCTAGTGCCTTTTAAAAGGCTATCACAGGAATAACCTGTAGAAAATCTGCTTTTTTGTTTTCAGGCTATTGCTTATGAGTTCAATAGAAACCGTGGTGTATCTACAATATAAATTTTTATTTCCCTGGGGCCTTTTTCTCATTGTTCTCCAATATCTTATGAGACTCAGAGCAAAGTATAGCCCACAGGACTGCTGAAAATGACTATACTATTGCTTTATTCTACAAAGAACTACAGAAAAATAGATTCTTGATAATAAATGGGTAATACTTACAATTATGAAGTAATATGCTCTGTGCAACAGTGATTTGTAATATATATGCGCCCCCAACAAGGCTGATTATTTTGAAATTATTTTATTCTACAGTCTAACCCTGTTGATAACCTCTGTGAAATAGAGATTAACCTATGTGAAAAGGCAACTATTGGGGCTTACGTCATAGTTGCTCCTGGATCAGCAGTCATTTGGTTGGTCACAAAAACAGCCACATTATATTCTATCAAGAAATAAAATTAAGAAATTAAGATATGGGCAAAAAAAATATAAAACATTCATTGTTTAGCTTTCAGAATTTAGGGATATTATAACATTTATTTTATAAAAAGGACCATATTCCTATTGTGTATTGATAACATAATTTACTTATTTAAAGTTATTATCATTATTATTTAGGACAGAATCTATTTTTATTTTTTAAAAAAGAGTTGTATTCCCATGCAGATAACTTTAAAAAACATTAACTTCTGACATTATTGTAAGCTTCTCTGAAACCCAAACAGTCACAGATGCTATTATGATAGTGTCATTTTATTTTAAAAATCTACCTTCTGAGATTTTTTGGAGCCTTGACAACATCTGGGCCAGTTTTTGTTGCCGTTCAGCCAACTCCCCACGGCCACTGAAATCCACTCGGAAAAGCGCCATTATTGAATCAATGATCTGCACAAGATTAGTGTAAAAAATAAATATGCATTTGGAAATGGAAGGAAGAAGTCCATTTAAATAGAAATCAATGGAATAACCTATTAAGTAGCTCTTCAATGAGTTGTATTTAAAAACCTGTACCAGCAGCTTGAAGATACCAGCTTCTTCATGGAACTTCGCTGCTACATAATCAAGTAGCTCCATCTGATGTTCACCTTGTGGGAAATGCAATGAGAAAATGTTATAAAAGCCAGCATAAGCAGAGGCTAAGATCATTCATGTCCTTGGTAGTCAGGGGAAAGGGAGTCCTTGAAAGGCTCTCTTAATTGTTCATGGCTTTACTATGTAAACGTGACTGCATATTCTGCCTTGTGCCAAGCGTGCAGAGCAAACATTTGCTATCCATAAAGAGTGCTCTGGGCAATGGAGGTGCAGCTCAGTGGCAAAGCACACAACTAGTGTGCACGAGGCCCTGGGTCTAAACCCCAGCACCACCCACACATACAGAAGAATGTTGCTCAGCATGTCAAAGACAAAAAATAATTTGACAGTATAGTATTTTAGCATCTCAGGATTTAACAAATGATAAAATTTGTGGACTAATTTAGAGAAAAGTAAAATAAAATGAAAAACAGTTGAAAGTATTGTATCAGAGTAAATCAGTGCTGCTGAAGCATCCACTTGCTTGGGGCTCTTACTAGTATATGCACGTGCATAGAGTACATTGTCCAGTACTGCATCGTGGTCCACGTTGAAGCGATCAGCAATGTCGCGAAGGCGATCTGGACGGCTGGATTGTGCCAAGATTAAGGATCCAATACATCAACTCCAAGAAAAGTTTAGACAACTAAAAAATGTAATACCTTAAGTACACAAAGTAACACTGAGGCAAAACTGTATCTGCAGAGGTGCTCTGAAAGATGACAGTAATTACTTAAAGTCTGTACCAGATTTTATTTTTTGTAAGTGCTTCATTTTACCTTAGGGTCATAGAAATGGTCAGAGAGTAATAAATTTAAAAATTAAATTATGAAATATTTAAACTAAGCTCAGAAGCCAGTTGATATGACCTGTACTACATTTTACAGAAGAGGACACTGACAATCATATTAGGCAAATGATTCAGGATTATGAAGTAAAGTAGTTAAAGAAAAAAGTAGAAGCTAAGGTTTGTGAATCTATCTTGTTCTCAGTTCTATAAAAACAGATCTAAGGCCAGGGATTTAGCTCAGTGTGTTGCTGCCTGTCTCGCATGCACAAGGTCTAGAGTTCAATCCCTGGCACACACACACACAAAAAAAAAAATCTAGTCTAGAAAGATAATATCACTGAATTATAATTCAAATCACTTCAAAATGAGTTCACGCTTCATACTTTTCATCTATTAAAAATGAAATGGGCCGGGGATTTGGCTCAGTGGTTCTGCCACCTGCCTTGCAAGTGCAAGGGCACAAGTTCAATAACTGGGACAAAAAAACAAAATAAAACAAAAAAGTTAAGAGCTGGACATGGTGGCACATGCCTGTAATCGCAGCACCTGGGAGGCTGAGACAGGACTGCCACAGTTTGAGGCTAACCTGGGCTACATAGCGAGTTCAAGGCCAGCCCAAACTACGCAGCAAGACCTTGTCTCACTGCGATCCTCCTGAGTCAGTCTCCCAAGTGCTGGGATCACGCACATGTGCCACCATGCCTGGATTATTCTTAGTTTTTTGTTTGTTTGTTTATTCTTAGGTTTTTGATGACCCTAACAGCATCCCCAAAGTGAAAAGATGAAATATAAATGTATATCTATGGTCCATTTCACTCTTGTTTACACTGTTTAACACTGACTATAAGTTATTGTAAAGCAAAGACCATTTCTAATTTTTTTTTCTCCAGTGCTAGAGATCAAACCCAGGGCCTTCCACCGGTTAGGCAAATCCTCTACCACTGAGCTACATCTCCACCCCTTATAATCATATTTGTGACACTTGCAACTTGTTCAGTAAGTGTTGAATTGAATGCCTTTAGGATTTTCCAGCCATGTATGCCTTAATACATTATGTATGTTTTTGTGTTTAGAGCTTCAGCGATAGCCACTAAAATTTTCTATTGAATATATACTCAATAAATGCTTTGCTGGATAAGTCAAAGAAAATAAGAATTAGAAGAAGTAATAAAATGTTTTCACCGTGTCAGTTTCTATAAAACCTAGATACTGTGTGAGCAGGAGTGTGGAAGTTGGATTTAACTGAAGGAAAGTTCAAATCTATACATATTTATTGCCGGGTGTGGTGATGCATGCTTATAATCCCAGCACTCGGGAGGCTGAGGCAGGAGGATCGCTGTGATTTCGAGACCAGCCTGGGCTACACAGTGAATTCCAGGTCAGTCTCAACTACATAGTGAGACCCTGTCTCAAAAAAACAAAAACAAAACAAAAATATTTATTAGCTGATTATCATGTGGTACTGATTACCATATTAACCAATTACCAATACAAAACACTGTGAAGGATATAAAGAGTAATAAGACTAGGGCCAGTGATTTAGCTCAGTGGTTCCACTGCCTGCCTTGCAAGCACAAGGACCCGAGTTTGATCCCCGGTACGAAACAAACAAGCAACAATGAATCAAGAGTAATAAGACTACTTCCTGGATAAACTTAAAATATAAAGTGATAAAATATAAATACATCAGAGATCTATAAAAGGTAGAAGTATATATGTGAGAGATATTGAAAGAATGAAAACATTTCACTGTGGCCCTTGTCACAGTTACTGCCCAGCACTTTGTTAACTCAGCTCCTAACTTTTTCTTTTTCTCTTTGTTGGTAAAATCCAAATTTCCCAAACAGTGGCTGTTAAACTGCAACAACAATTCCTCTCTCTGAGGATCATCATTTTTTTTTGTTTTGTTTTTTGTTTTTGGTACTGGGGATTGAACTCAGGATCTTGCACTTGAACGGCAGGTGCTGTGCCACTGAGCTAAATCCCCAGCTTTAACTAAGTCTTTCTGAAGGTGGCTTGACTCCATTCAAACCCCTCTTGCTAAAGCTCTATGTGTTCCAACCTCCTGCACAGTCACAAGCCTCATTCAGAGTCAGCCTACTCACACCTTGTAATTCCCAGTAAAGTCTTCTGCAAATAGTTCTTTGGTTTTCTTTTATATGAGTTTTGTTGTGGTTGTTTGTTTTTTTCAGTATTGGGGATCAAATCTAGGGGCTCTATACCAGAGCTCTAACCCCAGCCCATTTTTAAATTTTGGGAAAGGATTTTGCTACGTAGAGTAACTAAGTTGCCCAACGGAACTGGAATTCATGATTCTCCTATCTCAGCACATCTCAGTGGTGGGATTAGAGCCACTGAGCCTGACTTCTAGATATATATTTTAGAGAGTAAGTTCTATTATAGATCAAGAAGGACAATTTTTTCTGAATTGAGTAATAAAGAGAAAATTGGAGAGGGCTGGGGATTTAGCTCAGTGGTTCCTCTGCCTGCCTGCAAGCACAAGGTCCCAAGTTCAATGTTCAATCCCTGGAGAGAGAGAGAGAGAGAGAGAGAGAGAGTTTCTGATGAGATTAATATAACTCAGTCTAAACTAAGGATAGTAGTCTGCGTTTGCAAGGCAGATGGGTCTCGTCCAATCCCTTGGGGTCCAGAGTAGAACACAAAGGTGGAGGGAGGGCAAACCTGTTCCTGAGAGAGAGAGAGAGAGAGAGAGAGAGAGAGTGAGTTATGGGAGGAAAGGGAGAGAGGGAGAGAGGTGGGGGGGAGAGGGAGAGAAGGAGGGAGGGAGAGAGAGAATGAATTAGAGAGCTGGGCATGGTGGCACATGTCAGCACTTGGGAGGCTGAGGCAGGAGGATTGCTGTGAATTTGAGGTCAGCCTGGGCTACATAGTGAGTTCAGGGCCAGCCTGAACTAGAGAGAGAGAAAATTAGAAATGAGAGGATTAAATTATTTGTATAATTCAGAAAGCCTGCAAGAAGGGGATATCCAACAGAATAGAAACACCATGCAAATTTCTCTAGAACTAGCCAAATTACCACTCAAGAGTGGAGAGAAATAAAGAAACTCAGGGTCTTCATGCTGAGCTATGTCTCCAGGCTTTTAAAAAACATTTATTTGAGTCAGGGTCAGGCTGGTATTGAACTTGTGATTTTGTTGCCTCAACTTCTTGGAATGCTACATTGCAGGTGGATGCCACCAGGCCCATTCAATATGGGTTATTTTTCTAAAAGAAGTTCTTAAGTAGGTACTCCAGGAAAATAACAATACAGGAAAGAAGTTTTTTTTTTTTCTGGTACTGGGGATCGAACTTAGGTCCTTGAATTTACAAAGCAGGCACCAGAACCACTAAGCTAAATCCCCGGCCCAAGATTTTTTAATGTATAAAGAAAATGAAAATTAGTTTAAATAACTTCTGATATATGATGCTTTCAAATTTTAATGACTATACTTAGAGGCAATGAGAGTATTTTTAGAATATATTTATCTCTTTTCTGCTAGTAGTAACAACCGTGAGAAATAAGCCTAGAGGAGGTGGGACTTCATTGTGAACAGCTTTACAAACCTGTACAGGCGTTTCTTCTTTCATCCCATGGCCAATTCTACACAGCTTTACTCTCTTACTGTATGTTTGCAAAAAAACAAAAAACAAAAACCTTTCATCACCTTACCTACTGCAAATGTTCCCTTGAATACCTAATTTCTAATTTCAGTGATGTTTCTCAGTCTACACCTTCCAAAGTTCTCTCAGTGGAGCATCACCAACTATTCTTTTCTCCTTTAGCACAATGTGTATGTACATGAGGGATCTAAAAGGACACATCCAACTAAGCTGCTTATGATGGAAAATGCCTCTTCTTTGCTTCTTGTGTTTTTGTTTCCTGTAGTGCACATATTAACATTGTAAGAATTAAGATTATTTTTACCCCACCCCCGCCCAAAGAACTTTTCCTTTAGCTTGGCTTCCACAACCAGATTTCCTCCTACTTCTTTTATCTGTGTAGGTTCCTTTTTTTAAATATAGCACATCTCAAAGTTATGCTGTCAGTTCTTCTCTCGTCTCTTTTAAGCTCTTTTCTCCTTTGTTTAATTCATCCATATCTCTGCCCTTACCCCTTTCTCAAACTGAGTCCAACATTTCCACCTGTCATCTTTATATTCTCCTGAGTCTCACATTCAACAGATGAAAAGGAAACATTGCTTTTCTCTGAAGCATGATGTTCCCAATTCTATCATTAGCATCATTATTCTCCCAGTATCTAGGCAAAAACCTTGACCGTGGTTTCTCAAACCTCACAATCCTTTATCTACCAATATAGTCATTAAGTCCTATCAATATTCCTCTCTAATATTTCTTGTCCTTTTCTTTTTATTCTTGCTGCTTCCAACCTAGATCAAGTTCTCATTACTTGCCTATAATATTGCAAAAACGATTCACTAACACCCACTCTCCTGTCAGTGCCCTTCACATCTAAGACCTAAATCACTTGTCTAGCCTTGTACTCTGCAATACCTTGACTTCAATCAAACCACATTTTTTCCTGTGATCCAAACAGCCTCTGCCCTTTTCTTTCTGTGCTTTTGCTTCCTTCGTACTTTTCCTTTTATTTGAGACCACAAGTCTGAGTCAATAATCTTTCTATCTACAAAAGCAAAATCTGTGGAGAAGCCGGAAGACTAAAAATGAATAAGAGCCATGCATGCCTGAAATCCCAGCACTTGGGAGGCTGAGGCAGGAGGATCCTGCATCTGAGGCCACCCTTGGCTACACAATACATTCAAGCCAGCTTGAATTATAGAGCAAGACCTTGTCACAAACAAACAAACAAAACAAACCAAGAAGGTATCATTGCCTCTTGTGTATTTGTTTTGTTAGTTTTACACCAAACCCATGGGAAGTAAAATATTAAGTAAAAAGTGATTTAAGAATTTAACCAGTAATTATTTCCCCCCTTGCCTTTTCTCTATTATTGCTGTTTTATGGAGCTACCACAAAAATGATGTATTTCAAGCAAACTCTTTTGTAGCAACATTACTATATCACACTGGGTAGCAATTTGTTAAATATAAAGGTTACAACGTGTTTTCTGTGTCAATGAAGATAATCTTTCCTCCCGAGTAGCCACCTGCTCCTGGAAGTTGAGCTGTTACTAGGGAGCAATGAAAAAAATAAGTGTGAATGAACTGCGTAAAAAGGAATATGTAAATCAACATTGAATTTATGCTGCTTGCAACTCTTTAATACATTTAGAAAAACATAATGATCCTTTAATTTCTGAACAGCATGCTGTAATTTCATCTTATTAACCAGTGGTGAAATAGTAAGTATTCTGTCAAGATAGTAGTAATTCAACAAAGAAGTTCAGCATTTCCCTCAATGGGAGCTATTCATGGAAGTTAATTCTCCCCCACAAATGGGAGTAGAATTTAAATATTGCTACTTTTCTTTTTATAAGAAAAAAATCACAAATATAATTTATATTATATAACTCATTTAAGTTACCTTCAATTAATGTAGGTTATTTATTTATTTATTCCATTAAGTTTATTGGTACATTTAACGCAAACAACACAGTTACATTTATCATTGGGATCTTGTACCTTTACAAGATATATCTTGGTTCTTACTTTTCCCCATACCCAATGTAGGTTATTTAAATACATTTATTTTTTATGTTTTTATGTGCCAGTGGTTAGCATTGTACTTCAAACCAGATATCCACATTACTTCATTTTCCAAACTACCCTAGATTTAGCACACTCATTATTTCTTTTTATTTGTTTCAGATGAAACAAATTAGAGGTAAAGCTACTTCCCCAAGGTCACACAGCTAAAGGGAAAGAAGAGCGGAGTCAGGCATTTTGATTCCAGAATCCTCTTCTAAAATACTTTGCCAGCTTCTCGGCCTTTTGGCTAAGATCAAGTGTAAAATACTTTGCCATGTTCCTTCTACTTAAGCCAAACAAATGCAAAGTAGTGTCCTTGTGAAAAAGGAGCTATCTTTGCTTAGTTTGTTTTAGAAAAATTCGTTTTTAAGTCTCATTTAGGTTCCACCTTACTCCATGGAATATAAAGGATTCTAGGCCTCAATAGATGTGTCATTCTTGTTTAAAAAAAAAAAAAGAACAGATGGAATGGGAAAAACTGAGACAGTGGACACCTCTCCTGCCAACACACTCACACACCCACTTACCTTCTACTTGTTTTCATTCAGGTGTTCATCATGTAGCACATACAACAGCACCTCAAACATCACTCATTCAAAGACCAGCTCTCGAATCTGTGTGACCATGGACAGGTAATTTAACCTCTCTGAGCTTTGTGTTTCCTTCTAAATTTTCTGAGATTACATGAGATTATGTAAAATGTCAGGCACAGAGTACATAGATGTTGAGTGAAAGCTACGATCACTGTTATTATTATGCTGTTGCCATGTGTCCTTACCACACAGGGTATGGGAGAGCTGAGTTTTTCCTGTACGAAATTCTGTGAAATACAGAAAAAGTAATTTTAAAAATGCACATTTAAAAAATATTTTTATAAAAATAAAACATGACCTCAGAATGTTACTATTTCTTTTCCAACTGTCAAATCTCACCCCTAAAGTGCCTCTTGTAGATCTACAGATAGATTCTGTATATATCAATACCAGAAATAAAAAAATAAGGCAGTTTATAATAGATCTGTCTTTTAGATAAAAATTTAAGCAAGTTTCCCATAGAAACACTCACACAAATGAAAGTTAAGAGATTCTCACTGCAGGGAAGAAAGCCTGGGGCTCCACCACTGAAATGAGATCCTCAAGGGGGAGCTGAAGTAATCTCAAATTGGTCGCATTGCCTAGTTACCAGCAGAGGCAAATTATTTCTACAGGGAAACTTCTCTACCTAACAGTTAGGTCCACTGTACTGTCATAGATTAAAATTAAGCAATAAGCTCACAAATATTAAAAAATTAATGAAAAAAGTAAGTCCCTAGGACTGAGTCAACAGAAATAATGAAGCCCCACACTCCATATTCCAGATTTAGGAGTGTTGCTCAGTGCTGCAGCACTTGCCAGACTGTGTGAGGCCCTGGGTTTGATCCCCAATGCCACACACAAATAAAAAGGCAAAATCCAGATTTAATTCCCCAAGTCAACAGAAACAATGAAACATTTAGTTCCCCAAGGACTTAAAATACAAATTGTTAGATGTGGTGCATAATATAGTTGTACACACAAAAAAAGAAAAAAATGTGTAGGGGGGTGATGTAGCTCAGCAGTACAGCACCTGCCTGGCAAGTGCAAGACCCTGATTTTGATTCCTGGTACAAAAAAATAAAAATCAGTACATGTATTATTTAAAACACAGAGGATATAATCAGTAAAGAGAGAATCTCTCTCTGTATCTATGGAATTTGCAGTGCTTAGCCATAAGAACAACCTCTTTATTTAATTACCTTTTGGAAGAATAAGAAACCTTTATTTCTTTCTATAGTAAGATAAAAATGTCAGTATGACCCATCTATAGTTATTATTTATTTTCATTGCTTCCAGAATGATCTTGCATGACATAATTGAGATTTCATTATAACTTTCAAAATAGAAACTTATTTGTTCATTATTTAACTGTATGTGTGTATAAAATTTTATATAACAAAATATTAAGGTTCTACCTACCTCCAAAAGCTTCTGTGATTGCCATGCTTTCAATTCCACCTCCTAGCAACTTACTGGAAATAGAAAGAAAGCATTAGTAACAGGGATAGAAATAGAGATATCAAGAAACAAGAAAGAATTCATAAAATTAGTAACCTATCATCTATTTATCAATCTATCGCTATAATACGAACAGGAATTCTTAGCTGAACAATTGGCACGCACCATGTTCAGATCCAAGTTACCCTGTGTATGGGCAGGTGGATCAATAAAGCAATTAAGAAGCCCTGCTTTTTTGTTGTTTGTTTGTGTGTTTGTTTTGAGACAGGGTCTCACTATGTAGTTGAGATTGACCTAGAACTCACTATGTAGCTCAGGCTGGTCTCGAAAGCACAGCAATCCTCCTGTTTCAGCCTCCCGAGTGCTGGGATTACAGGTATGCGCCACCATGCCCGGCAAGAAGCCCTGCTCTTTTGACTTCTGGGTATCAACAGTGAAGGGGTTAGCAAGAACTTCTGTCCACTATTCCGAACTGAATTGGAATTAGAATATATGGTTTTAGGGTTTCTTGTTGTTTTGTAGTGCTGGAGTTTGAACCAGGGCCTTGCACATGCTGGGGAAGTGCTCTATCACTGAGCTATCCCCTCTGCCAAGTGGTCTTAGTCATTATTGGGTGTTTCAAATTGTGCAAGAATAACATTTCTAAGAGTTGACTGAAAATTTAAAAAAAATTTTTTTTTTGTACCAGGGATTGAACTTGGGTCCTTGCACTTGTGAGCTAAATCCCCAGCCCTTCGATTTTTAATATACTGAGAAATATGAAAGAGATGTTAGAAGAATCCAGTGATCATCACCATGTTTGGTTTATGTCATAAAAATAAAATTTTATGGATAACATCAGAACTGAGAATGTTCAAAGATGTTACAGTTAAGAGAATAACTGCTAGGTTTTGACAGCATACATTTAATTGTTAACCCAGTGTTTTAGTGCATTTAATGTTCTTGATATGAAAAGAACTGAATTTAAGTTATGATCTTTTATTCATTAAATGTAATAAATATTATGTTGTGTGCTAAAACCTACTAGGAGCACTTTAAAAACATCTATTAGCATGTCTTTTACAGATAGAATTATGATGATCCAGTGGATTTATATTTACATAGTTTAAGAGAGCCATTTAAATGTAAATTGAAGAAAAGTTGGAAGTCACCCACAATGAAGCCTGGAGACTACAAAGAAGAGAGAAAAGTCTTGATACTGACTTATTAAGTTGAATCTAAAAGACATGGGCTGAGAGATCAGCCCATTTAGAGGTCAGGCCTTGGAGACTCTAATAGGCCAAGCAACTATCAAAGAGAGCTTTACTTGTCCCTCCCCATCTTGAGAAAATTTACCCTTAAAGGCAATAGCTATGGGAAATATCAGATAAAACTCATGGCTGATACGTAATGTCAATAAGCTGGAAAAGGTAACCCCAAATTTTGCCTTAAGGGTATCCCAAATTACTTGGGATAATATAGTCTGCTTTGTAAAACTCAGGAAAATTAACAATTAGTTATAGAAAAAATGTTCTCAAATTTAGAGAGATTTAAAAATGGTGATACAAATCAAACCCAGATAATATCACAGTAAATTTGGCAATAATCTGTGCATATTTGGCATTTGAAATTGTTTAAAGTGTAAGAGTACTTAACCTCTTTATCATGACAAAACAACCACAGGATTATTAAATTATATATTTATATGAAATATATACAAAATGTATATATTCATATTTATTTCAAACCCAGGGGCATTTCTCAAGAATCTGGGATTAGAAGTGTGCAAGATTTGTCATTTTTATATTGATAACTAAGTTTATCAATAGTACCTGAACATTTGAGTGCCTACGTCTCACTATACTTTGAAGTTTATTAGATTTGCAGAAGATATTTAAATAACTGTAAAGATTTGCATGTTAATAATTAGACAAAAATGCCAGGTGTGGTAGTGCATGTCTGTAATTCCAGCATTTGGGAGGCTGAGGCAGGAGGATCAAGGCCAGTGTGGGCCACAGTTCAAGACCAGTCTGAACTACATAGGGAGATGTGTCTTTGAAAAGACAAACGAGGTCTTAAAGGAAATTATGAAAGCTTCCAATATCAAAATAGAGTCATTTATGTCAAACTCTTACATAATGGAGCCAGGGGAATCCATGAAAAAAAGCCTTCACACATACATGCTTGAAACAAGACTATCAAAAGATGATCCTACACATAAGCCAAAAAGTAATATGACCTACTGCAAGGAGTTCTCAAGATTGCAACATTCCAGATAAGGTGTTTGCACAAAGACACAAGCCTAGCAATGGCTGTCTCAGCCAATAAGTCAAGCCAACTCCTGAAAAAGACCCCTGTAATCTCTAGTTTCAACATAGACTTCTCATCTTCTTTATCTACAAATGATTTCCCTTTATCCCCAGCCCTCTGGATATGTCTGTGGTCATATCAAGTATACCCTGAAACGCAATTCTCTGTTATTCCAGAATAAATTCATTTATTCTGGAGGACCTGAAACACTGAGAGAAACTCAAGACAGTTTCTTTTTATGTCAAGAAATATAATACACACTAAATGTATAATTTAGAATGCTTAAGGGAATTTAGTTAAGTATATTATAAAATCACTCATATTTTGCTAGATTTATAAATGGACTTAAAAATCTAAGGAAAAACAAATAACATTTTAATGAATCAGTTATTAATTTTTAAAAACCTAGCTCCTTAGTAAAACTTTTGTGCCCAAAAGCAAATATCAAGTACATCCGAAATCTCGCAATGACAGTAATAAATTTTCTAGCCCAAAGCTGCTTAAGCTACCATAAGTTATCAAATGAGTATCAAATGTTGAAATCAAACATCTTGTTGACCAGCTTGATTTTGATCAATTTGCTTTGGGGTGGGATTTTCCATGGCAAAAAAAAATTTCTGTGATTTTAAAAGTTTTGGGACAATACTGGGTTCAATAGATTGTTTTTCCTTACTGCAGAACTTTACAGAACCTTACTAGGCCAATGTATAGTATGACTCTCCCAAAACATATACTATACTGTCCTTCCCAAACCTATTGTATTCAGTGTGTGTTTATTCATTTAGTCATTCAAAAAATATTTATTGAGTAAACACCATTTTATCTTTTTGGGATAAAGAAAGAACAAAAGAGATAGAAATCCCTTACCTATGGGAGCTTACATTCTAGTAGAAGATCCAAAAATAAACACAAATAAATAAAGGGCTGGATGTTTATCTTAGGGGTAGGGCAACTGCTGGCATGCACAAACCCTTGGGTTCGATCCACAGCAACACACACACATGCACGCACACATACACACACACACACACACAATGTACTGTGTCCAATGTTATTAAATCCTATGAATAAAGATAAGGTTGGAGTTTGAAGGTGGGGAGTTTACATTTTCAAATAAAGTGATCAGAGAAAGCCTCCTTAAGAAGTGGACATTTTAGCAAAGGCCCGTAAGAGATGACAAGACATGGAGCTATGCAAGGACAGAGTATTCCAGGCAGAAGGAACATCAACTGCAAAGGCCCTGATGCAGGACAGGAGTGTCTCTGACTGGGCAAAGAGGGCAGTGTGGCAGGTACATAGTAAGTGTGCACAGAATAAAAAAGTACGTTAGAGATTGGAGAAGACTGACTTTTGCTGTGAAAGTGACTTGGGGAGTCATGAGGGTGTTTTGAGCAGAGGAGTGTTATTTTCTAACTTATGTTTAAAAGGATCATATGGGCTCTTGTATAAAGCATAAACAGTAGCACCAGCTCTGGAGGAAAAGGTTAGTTAGAAGTTATAAAGAGGTTATAAAGAGTTATAAAGAGATTATCTAGAAGCTGTGTCTCTCCAGGAGAGATATAAATAGGTGGTGTTTAGAACCTGTGAGGAAGTAATAGTGGAGGTGGTAAGACATGACTGAATTGATATTCCCACTCTCTGCAGATGCATGCACATCCACCCAAGAATATATATTTCCAAATGTGGTAATAGACATCTGTAATCCCTGCAGTTGGGAGGCTGAAGCAGGGGGATGGTGAATTTGAGGATAGCCTGGTCTACATAGTAAGACTCTGCCAAAAAAAAATTTTAAAAAAAATATGTGTGTGTGTGTGTGTGTGTGTGTGTGTATAATATCTGTAAACTTATTATGGAAAATATCAAACATAAAAGTAGACAAAGAGTAAAACGAGCCATCGTACCTATCCTTTAGCTTAAACAATTATCCGCTATCAACATGGGATCAATCTTTTCTTATTAACCTCCAACCACTTCCCTTCCTTTTATTATTTTAAGTATATGATAACATATTTATTCCTAAATTTTCAGTATGTATCTCCAAAAGATAAGGACTCTCATTTTTAGTATAATCATATCACTTCTCTTCCACTCTTGCACCTAAAAATCAGTCATTCCTTAATATCAACTAGTAAATGCTTAATTTTTCAACTCTCTCATCTCCTGCATGAGCCTCCCAAGTGACTGCATCCACAGATATTAGTCACCATGCCAGATTTTTTAAAATAGTGTTTTTGAATCAAGATTCACATAAAATCTATTTAAGTGATATCTTTCTTTCTTTTCAGAATTGGGGGCTGGACCTAGGGCCTCATACATAATTGACATCTTTTAAATCTCTTTTAATCTATAGGTCTCTCTGACTTCATCTTTTATTTTTCCCCTCAGAATCCGCCATTATAATTTATTTCTTAAAAAACTGGGTGGTTTGCTCTGACTAAATGTAGTTTGAAGGTAGATCAGGTAGGATTTGTTAATGGATTAGAATAAAGGTGGGGTGGAGGAAATGTGCTAAGGATGACATCAGGGTTTTATGTCTGAAGATTTGGAAGAAGTTCTGACATGAGGGACCTCCAACAGAAGCAGACTTGGGGGAACGATCAGAAGTGTCATTTTGGACCTACGAAGTCTAACCAGCCCATTACAAATCCAAATGGAGGCACATTTGACTATGAAATTCTTTTTTTTTAACTTGATCTTGGTCAAAAGGACAAGAAACAATTGAAATCCTTTTTTCTTAGAGTATCATGTGAGGCCAAGGTTTTCAAGAATACTTTGAAAAAATACTACTTTTGTTCTAATATTTCTTGGCCATCATTCTAACTTAGAGACTAATTCTGCCTAGTAATGGAGAAAAATGCATTCTGCTCAATTTCCATGGTGAAGAGGATAGTATGTTTCAAGAATTATAAAGAGTAAGAAATAAAACATGTCCCTGCTGAAGACAAACCAATACTAGGTTATTTCTTCTAAAATATTCAGTCTAACAACTAATTTTTAAGTAAAGCCAAAAGGCAAATAAAAATTCCTTCATCACTGGAGAAAGAAAAGAAATGAAAAGTTAAACTGATTTTTAAAAATAGTTTGTAGAGCCAGGTGTGGTGGTGCATTCCTGTAATCCCATCACTTGGGAGCCTGAGGTAGGAGTACAGCTGTGAGTTCGAGGTTAGCCTGGGCTATGTAGTGAGCTCCAGGCCAGCCTGAGCCACATTAGCAAGACCCTGTCTCAGAAAAAAGTCTGTAGGTTAATACAGACTGATTCAGAAACCACACATATTTTGGGTTGGAATATCTTGGAAGAAATTTAATCCAGTTTCTGCAAGCAGTATGGAATCTATTTCAGTTTGCATTTTAGGGGGAAAAACACAAACTACTTCTAAAGAAGTGCTATTTCTACCAATTATAGTAGAAATAACAACTAGATAAAGGAAAATATGGCATTCCAAAATTGTACTGAGTGGTTATAAAAAAATGTGAGATACACACTCAAATTCCTGGCTCCCAGTGGTGATATGAAAAACCATCTTCCTCTTTTCACTATATTCAAATGCAGTCAAGAATCCTGGTTCCTACAGAAAGATAAAAGGACAGGTTAAAAAAGAGGATCCTATGATAATTGGAATTTCAAATGCGGCCAAAAACTATATTCTCCATTATCAAAGTCATCATTTAGCATAAGCTACAGTAAATACCTTTGTCTTTTTTTTTTTTTTTTTTTTTTTT